CATTTCCTTTTGGCGATGAGGTGTCTGGAGCAAACTCAGCCACCTTCCTTGAATGCAGCGTCTTGCTGGAGCCCCAGGAGTCACTCACAGGCACTGTTGCATGATGGGAGGGTCTGGCCCCATACTTGTGTTCCTGGGGTAACCGAGTGATGCTGAACACGCACGCTCAAGGTCTAGGGGGGCACTGAACTAAGCTTAGCAATTTGTTCCACCATCTTCACTCAGGCAAAGCTTTCAGTGATTTATAGTGGTGTGGAGAGATGGCCTAAGCTGTAGCCTTGCTTAAATGTTCACATGCAATTGTTTTTCCTTGAGCTCTGAATAAAGCGTCATCATGCCTCTCAACAAGGAAAAACTTTTGGATAAGCTTTTCAGAATGCAAAAGAAGCTGAAGAAATGTTGTCCAGACACACGATCATTAAGCCTGGCTTCAGTTTTGTTAGCAGAGCTGCCTTTGGCAGCCAGGTGTTTGGTCTCTCCCCACTTTCCTCCTCGCTCCTCAGAGAGGGGTGAGTACCCTGTGACACTGGATGGGCCCCGTAGAAAGGCTGCTTCCTCATGCCCACCTTTCCTGTTAGCAGTGGCAGAGTCCTGGGTGCTATACAGAGAGGACCCAGGGAAGCCACCCAGAGCCAAATCTAGACAGCAACAGGGAGTGGAGATGCAGAATAAGCTCATCTTTCAGGAACTGGCAAGAGGACAGCAGTCGTATTTTCTTACTTCTTTCTCTCATGTGCACCTTTTCCGAAGCTCACTAAAACTGACCGAGTCCCTGGGACTCATCCTGTTTTTCACTGTAAAAACAAAAAGAAGAAGGGAGGTTTGAGGCTGGGAGAAATTGGAGTTGATTTAGGAAACATGAGATAAACAGGAAGAGAGTAATGGGGGAAAAAAGACAAGGTAATAAAACGAAAGAGAAGGAAGAAAGAAAGGACCATGGAGTTTGGGAAAAGGTCTGGAAGAAGGCATAGGGGGAAGAGCAGCATGAAAAAAGGACAAGAAAGAGAAAGAGTAAAGAGAACGTGATGGATATAACAACAACAAAAAACAGAAGGAGGTGGAAGACATTTTGAAGGTGGCCATAGAGTGGTTTCAAAGGATGTGAGTGGAAAAGAGGAAATGCAAGAAAGGGAACCAGCACAGTGAGATACATGATGTTATTGCACAGAAAATGGAAAACAAAGTGCTAACGTGCACCGAAACACTGAGGGAAACCTTGGCCTTCCCAAAGCAAAGGGGACATGGATGCCACAGGACATAACTTCACCCTTTGTGTTAAAAGGCACAGATGGGTCGTGTGAGAAAGCTCTGACAGCCCCTGAGGGTGCAGTTTTCCTTCCTAAGATCTCCACAGCTTCTGAGGGAATTCAGTACTTCACACTCCTACATTATAATATGAAGCAGGTTGTGATTTTTTTAGCTGCAAATGGGGCATATTCCCCCCATACACTTTCTCCTGCACACATCAGGCCTGTCCCTACAGGCACAAAGGATTTATTCTTCCCTTTACAAATTACTTTACCAGCTGAGGAACTGCAATATCTGCCAAACCCCCCAGAAGCCCAAGACCTCTGCCCCTTTCCAGCAAGTACTGAAACGAGGGAGGGGAGAGAGGAAGCCAGTTATTTTGAAAGAAGTGCTGGGGGGAACTGCAGGAGCAGGCAGAGCCTGACCTCAGAAAAGCTGGCAAGTGCTCGTGTAGCGTGAGCCATTCCCTTCACCATGCTGGGGCAGTTACCCAGGAGCCTGGGTGGGGAGAGTCAGCACCGCTGATGAGGGCACTCACTGCTTTTCCCTCCAAACCATTTATAACTAAGAGCCAGCACACGAGCGAGTGCAAACGCCACCCGCACAATTGGGGGTTGGAGCAAGTTTAGGGTTGGCTCCCGTTCTGCTTCAGCTTTGCCTGTGGCTGAAGTTGTTCTGCACCCAGTCCTGGTTCAAGTTTGGCCAGAGTTTCTGCCTTCCAGCCCTGGCTCAGGCTTTGCTCAAGGAAAAATCTAGAACAAGTTTTCTGCCCAACTCTGCTGTAGAGTGTGAGCAAAGCTGGCCTTCTGCGCTTGCTCATCCCGAAAAATGATGAATTGCAGAAGTACCCGTTTGGTGTGAGCCATCGGGTGAAGCAGGAAGGAAGCAGGAAGCCCTTGTGAGCACTAACTTTTCAAAGCAGCTTGCAGAGAGTGCCAAGGCTCTCCTCCCTGAGGCTGCATCGCTGCTCCTCACCTCCGCACCTTAACGGGCACCCAGTCCCAACAAACATTTGCAACTCATTCAGCCGGAAACATTTGCCCGGTGCAAACAGCTGAGGCATTCGGCGCCAGCCCCTTCTCCGTGCGAGGCGGATGAAAGAAGGGGGGAGGGCAGAGGAGCCCCACACTTGCTGAACGGGAGAGGCCCGATGGCGCTCAACAGGTTCAGCTCACGCTGTGACCCTGCCCGGCTTCCTGCTATTCAGATGTGTTACTTCCCCTTTGTGGTAATGGCCTGTGGCAGCCGGCCAGAAAACACTATTAATTTCAGAAGTGGCCTGACAACAAACCCACAGCGAAACGAGAGGAAGTGGCGTGGAGGCCATCTGTTGACTTCAGCAGAACAGTAGGGACGCAGCTATGTAGGTTCTACAAGGAAAGCAGATTAATAACCCACAAAGAGGAAACTGGCTAAAATTATCCACAGACCATATTAAAAAAAAAAAAAATACAGAAGAGAAAAAAAAAAAGGGGAGTCACTTGAGCTGCAGCTGGACAGGAAATTGCTAGAGCTGCTTGCAAATCTCCACTTTGAACAGAGCAGCATCGGGAATGCCAAGAGCGGAAACCGTTCAAAACCGGATTAGCACAAGCCAAGTTTAACTGCAACCCACTTCTACTTTCACAGTTTATGCACTCAATCTAGGCCACTACTGCATGAGACACTGACTCACTTTTTTCCCATGTTTTGTTTGCTTTTTATTTCACACACTTGCAGTTTCTAAAATTACTTGAGATTTGCTCTGGCTGGCAGGAGTTCTGCAGACCCCCAGCCGACAGCCCCAGCTGTGGCATCAGCCCACGGCTGCGGCACTGTACCCCGATTTTGGCAGCACGGTACCTTGGGCCACTTCTCATCAGGAAGGATATTCATGAAAATAAGTCTCAGTAGGAAGTTACGCAATTGCTATAATCCCCCTTTTTCCTTCTGCAGAGATAGGAGTACTTGAAGGCTCCGAAGAGGAAATTAGGTGACTAAGGGTATACAGAGACTTTTCCTCCTTGCCTTCACCTGCTGAGTTGCAATGTGGCTGAACAGCAACAGAAAAATCATTTACAGGCTGCAGACTGTTGATGCATCTGTGAAATGAGCTCCTGCCAGACAGATAAGGAGAGCATGAACTCATCTCCTGGCATCTGTAATAGAGTGGCCAAAACTTGTAAACAAACCCAGAAAACAGCAGCTCTTTACTCTTAAAAAAAAAAATAAAATTAAAAAATAAAAAGTAATAAAAAAAGATAGATGCTTATGGCCCAGGGTCAGACGCATCCCTGGGGTAGCAAAGGGATGCTAGAATATTTTGCAATTAACCTAAAGGCCTTCAAAAGCATTCCCTTCACCAAAGCAAGACAAGAATCCAGCATGTGCACTGTTTATTCATTTAGGCACCAGTGGACCAAACGGTAAATCAAGGCTTTATTGTCTTAGGGCCTGTACAAAAGCTATTGAAAGTAATCATTACCTTTAAACATAACCATATGTGTATGTGCAATTAACCACACCCACACAGAGGGGAAGGGGGGAATAAAGCAACCAGGTTCTCAATAGCCAAAAATAGTTATTTATTTATTAATAATTTAAGGTTTTACATTCTTATAATAAATTCCATCTTAAAACTTTTACACCGTGAATTAGACTCTCCCTTATTGGCAACCGTGTGCAGGTTCACTGTGCGTACACACAGGTACAAATGCTTGCACATACTTCCAGTTTTATACAAAAAAAAAAAGACGCAAAATATTGCATTTGAGGTGAAGCTCCCTGAAGAATTTGTACAGAGGTAATGCACTGTTTAGCACATCTGAAAGTTTTAAAAAGTGATCAAAAATCTTTCGCATTCAAAGACAAATCTCCTCCCAGATGATCTATTTACAAAAGGTAAGGCAAAAAATTAATTTAATTTAAAAAATATATATATATCATGTGGAAACTACATCAAGAGCGTGAGAAAAAAAGAAAATCACCACAAGGAAAAGAAAAATATATGAAAGAAGAGACTGTATTTGCTCACAAAACATGATTTGCAAACTTCTCACCGTTGCCATTTCTCCCTCATGGAAACCTTGCTTCAGTGGAACAATAAAATTAAGCATGCTGCAAATATATTCTTTGCAATTAAAAAAAAAAAGCAAACAAATAAAGCAGAATTTATGAAGAGAACAAAACCATAGATGTCCCTTGGATTCATTTCTTGAATACATGTGAATTCAAAAAGAAAAAAAAAAGCAAATCTAGTTAAGATTAAATATTTACACTGATCAAGTAGAATACCAACAAGCTCCTGGCAAACAAGTACTCCAAATACACTAAGCTGAAATCTCTTTCTTTGGCTTCTCTAAATTCAAACAAACAAACAAAAATAACCAGTCTTCACTGAAGACAAAGATGTGTATCACAGATCCGAAAGCAGAGAGGGAAGTGGGACAGTTGCAGTCTCTAGAGAACACGTGCTCAGCCTGTCCAGCCTTACCCTACGCCCCTGGCAGTCCTTGGACCCAAGCCACTGCGCAAGCGGGGATGAGCGCGCTGCTCACTTGGCGCCTGGTCGCCGCGGTCCTTCCCAGAGAGCTCACCACGTTCCCTCCCTTTGCAATTCCATACTGTGTAACCTTTCCTAGCCTGCCCTGGCAGCTGCTTTTTGACAGCAGAGGCCAGAAAAAGAGAAAGCTGCATTTTCTTTATCACTGCCAAAGAGGAACCATTGAGGAGTGATCCCATGAAACGGACAGGAGAAGGGAGGCGGTGAGAGCTCACGTGGACTGCAGGGAATCCACCTGGAAGACATTCTGGTTGGAAGGAGTGGTGAAGTACAGCTGCTGGTTCGGCACTCGATTGTCACAGGGGCTGCTCAGCCCCAGAGTTCGCTCAAAGTCCAGCAGCTGACCCATGAAGTTGAAGTTGGGTGAAATGTTGGACTTCTTCATCTTGACAATATCATAGGCATCGTTCATGGACAAGTTGAGCTTCTGCATGAGGTAGGCCACCGTCACGGTGACTGAGCGGCTGATCCCTGCTAAGCAATGCACCAGGACGCCACAGTTCTTCCCCCGTGCTTCGTCTGTAGAGAGACAAAGAGGCAGAGAAGGACACATAAGACAGGGGGTTGGTAACTGATCTCACAACACAAGTGAGATTAGCATCAGGTAGGAAGAAAGGGCGATTCTGATCCCAGTGGCCGGCAGTGACACGCAAGAGTTAAACTTCACCGGCTTAAAACCAGGGCAAGAGGAGAATCCACCCCCCCTACGTATATGTACCAGAGTCCAAGAGCTGAGAAAACTAAGAGCGAGACAAAGGGAGCAGGATACGCTGCATGACACCGTTTTAAAAGTCAGTTTTAAAAGACACTCTTTTCGCCTGGAGATTTGCCTGAAATTCTTACAGTCCCCTTGCCCCAGCATGGAAATCCTGCAATATGTCACTGAATGCCTTTTATACAGACCAGCAGACTGCAAAGGTCTATTAAATTATTCTCCAGCTGTTGTGCAGCTAACAATGGAGGTATTCAGGCATTTTAAAAGAATGAGGGAAGTCACAGGGGACAGCCCATTAGGAGGAACAGGATGTCAACATTGGTTGAAAATGGGTTCCTTTGTAATAGGAAATGCATTACAATGCCTGGAGATTAGTTTCTTTGTGGCTTCCAGCCCACATTTCTTCCTGCTGGGCTCAGATTACCTACATTCTCCACTATTACCGGTATCATTCAACCGGACTACAGCACAGCTTCCCAACAGATAATGCGATGCCCACCCCACCGCACCCCGATGGGGCGATTTTAGTTCTCTCTGAAACGAAGGAGTGCAAATTTTAACCAGAACTCCTTGAGCCCAAGGGGATGTGTTTCCGAAACTGACGGGCAACGTCTAAGGGCTGGCTAACAGAGGCACCCAGCCCGAGAGGTATATCATCATTATTACCACGAGATTTAATTAAAGCTCTGACTATACATTTGCCAGGGATACCGGTTATGAATAACTTGTATTTAAAAGCTAAAGTTAGCTTCCCAGATCGTTTCTTTCTATTATACTGCTCTTCAGTAACCTCGAGGGGAAAAAAAAAAACAACAAAAAAAACCCCAAAAAACAACACACCACAAGAAAAAATTCTCAAAAACAGGACGAATAATCTATCGACCCCGGGTTCATTTGCTTCCCCTGGCCAGAAAGAGACTTTAAAATATCCCCCCATCCTGCGCATTGCTCAGTCCCCGGCTTCGACACAAACGGCTCAGGGAGGAAGCCCCCAGCCAGCCAAATCAGGCGTGCGTTTGCAACCTGCAAATGTCGCTTACAATTCACCTGGGCTCCTCAATGACCCCCCAAAACCGCCCCTAGCCCGCCGGCTTTACAACCAGAAAGCAGGGCATGTCCCAGAGACTGCCAGAAATGCTGCTACAGCTTCTCGCCCGAAATCTCCCGAATTTCGCAAAATAAATTGAATGCTGCCGTTTGACATATAGCTGTTAGCAAATAACCGGGTCTCACCTATAAAGGAGATGGCCTCAGGAAAGAACTGAGACAGATTTTGGCTCCAGTGGTCAGAGATCGGGATCTGTTTGTACTTGAATTCGCCGGCGTTTTCAAAGAGATTAGGCAGGTTGGGGGTAACATTCAAGATGTATTTAATGCCAAACTCTTCCAAAACGTCCAGATTAGTGGAGTCCTTGGCACAGCCTAAGTAGAGGTAGGGTAAAATCTCCACCGGGAAGGAAGGCTGGTTGTTGGAGAGAGGGCTGCCATCGGAGTCGGTGGCACTATTGGGGTCTCTGTCAATGTCAGATTCAATGTCTGATGAGGAATCAGAGCTGATTCGGAGGCCTCCCAAGCCCAGGACTGGCAAAGGAGGAGAGCTGCTGCTACACGAACTGTCTAGGTTAGTTTCGCAGTGCAGGGCGAACTCGGCCTGGAACTTGCTGAAACCACCTGGGGAGAAAAGCAAAAAGGGTGGTGGGGGGCAATACAACCAGATACAAGATGGCAAGACAATCTAGGCCCCTGGCACAGCTCTGTCTGCAAAGGGGCATCTGTTAGGACTGGCAAAGGAGGAGAGCTGCTGCTACACGAACTGTCTAGGTTAGTTTCGCAGTGCAGGGCGAACTCGGCCTGGAACTTGCTGAAACCACCTGGGGAGAAAAGCAAAAAGGGTGGTGGGGGGCAATACAACCAGATACAAGATGGCAAGACAATCTAGGCCCCTGGCACAGCTCTGTCTGCAAAGGGGCATCTGTTTCCCACCCTCTCGAGCCTCGGGGAAAAAAAAAAAAGTCACGCTCTCAAACAGACGGACTGACCTAAAAGAGGGTTTTAAGAAAAAAGCCTGCTGCCACGGAGGGCTCAGCACATTCGAGATTAAAGTTCCGTGCCCCTTCGCCCTGCGAGGACCTCCGGAGCGGTGTCTCGGTGGCAATTTCTCCTGTCCTCCCCGGCTCACGCCGGGCTCCCCGTTAGCCCTGTCCTCCCCACACTGCTATAGCGGTTCCAGTCCTCGGGGTCTCTTTAAACAAAGCGTGGACAGGGATGCTGGGGGTTGGGGGGAGAGGGCAGGGAGAAAAGCCCCCTGT